TTGCGGGTGGTACGGGGTCGAGAGTCGGTGATGAACCCCGTACTTTGCAAGAACTCGTCCCAATGCTTTATTGCAAAAATGGGTGCCATTGTCGGTGATGATTGCTCTTGGGACTCCAAATCGAGAGAAAATGTTCCCTCAAATAAATTTGATCACCGCTTTTGAATCATTTGTGGACGTGGCAATTGCTTCTACCCATTTTGATACATAGTCCACAGCCACGAGGATAAATTCCTTTCCATTTGACTTCGGAAATTGGCCCATGAAATCAAGGCCCCATACATCAAATACTTCAACTTCAAGAATGCCCCTTTGAGGCATTTCATTTCTCCTCTCGATATTTCAGTGCGTTGACAACGGTCGCAGCTTTTAACAAAGGTGTTGGCATCCTTGAAAAGAGTAGGCCAAAAGAAACCAGATTGTAACACCTTTGCTGCTGTGCGGGAGCTACCATGGTGTCCTCCGTAGGCGGAAGAATGACAATGATGTAAGACATTTGTAACTTCATCCTTGGGCAAACATCTTCGTATTACTCCATCAGCACAAATTTTGTAGAGGAATGGTTCCTCCCAGATGTAAGTTCGAGAGTCATATTGCAACTTCTTTTTTTTCTGCATGAGTTGCTCCGGTTGGAATTATTCCATTTGAAAGATAATTTGCTATGTCAGCAAACCATGGATCAATGCTTTTAGCCAGCATAAGTTGTTCTCCGATGAAGTAATCATTGATCGGCATAGTTTTTGCTTCAGGAATTTCCAACCTTGATAAGTGGTCAGCAACCACATTTTCCGACCCCTTTCGGTCTTTGATCTCCATATCAAATTCTTGTAGTAAAAGAATCCATCTTAGGAGCCTTGGTTTGGAATCTTTCTTTGCCATGAGGTATTTGATAGCAGCATGATCAGTGTACACAATAATTTTGCTTCCGATGAGATATGATCGGAACTTCTCAATGGCAAAGACTACTGCAAGAAACTCTTTTTCAATTGTTGCATAATTGAGTTGTGCATCATCAAGAGTATGACTTGCGTAGTATATGGCATAGACTTCTCTCCCCTTGCGTTGGCCTAGCACAGCTCCGACTGCATAATCACTGGCATCACACATGATTTCAAAGGGTAAACTCCAGTCGGGTGGCCTTATAATTGGAGCAGTTGTTAAGACCATCTTCAGCTTTGAAAAAGCTTCTTGACAATCAGCATCAAAATTAAAATCTACATCCTTAGAGAGTAGACTTGTCAAGGGTTTTGAGATTTTAGAGAAGTCTTTGATGAAACGACGATAGAATCCGGCATGAACGAGAAAACTCCGAATTCCGTTTACATAATTCGGTGGTGGCAACTTTTCGATGACTTCAATCTTCGCTGGATCAACTTCAATACCACTTTCAGAGATTTTGTGGCCAAGTACAATTCCTTCTGTTGCCATGAAATGACATTTCTCCCAATTTAGTACGAGATTGGCTTCTTCACATCTGCTGAGCACTTTGTCTAAATTCATTAGACAATCTTCAAATGAATTCCCATGGACAGAGAAATCATCCATGAATACCTCCATGATCTCCTCGATGTATTCTGAGAAAATAGCAATCATACACCTTTGAAAAGTCGCAGGTGCATTACATAATCCAAATGGCATTCTTCGATATGCAAATGTGCCATAAGGACATGTAAATGTCATCATTTCTTGATCATGAGGATGAATCGGGATTTGAAAGAATCCCGAGAAGCCATCTAGAAAACAGAAATAGGAATGTTTGGCCATTCTTTCCAGCAGTTGATCAATGAACGGGAGAGGAAAATGATCCTTCGGAGTGGCTTTGTTTAACTTTGGGTAATCAGTGCACATGCGCCATCCACTAACCATTCGGGTAGGAATAAGTTCATTGTTGTCGTTTTTAACAACGGTAATTCCTCCCTTTTTCGGAACCACATGAATAAGGCTAACCCATTTGCTGTCTGAAATGGGATAGATGATTCGTGCTCTCAACAACTTAAGCACTTCTTTCTTGACAACGTCTTTCATGTTTGGATTAAAACATCGTTGGTGCTCAATGCTTGGTTTATGTTCCTCTTCAAGATAGATGCGGTGCATGCAATATGAAGGACTGATTCCGACATTATCGTCAATGGTGTAACCAATTATCCTCCGGTGTTCCCTAGGACTTTAAGCAACTTCTCCTCTTGTTCAGCATTTAGGGAAGAGTTTATGATCACCAGATAAGTAGAATCGGGCCCAAGAAAAGCATACCGTAAAGTAGAGGGAAGAGGTTTGAGCTCTACTTTAGGTATTTCATCATTTTTGGGCATAGGCTCCTCTTCAAGATTAAGGACTTCAAATTTTTCTGGTCCCTCCATTGGTTCGGAGAGATGATCCAAAATCTCCAAGCATGAGTTCACCATCTCATTTGATTGTTTCTCTTCAACAGATTGGCATATGGTGTACTCCATTGGATCTCTTGAGAGTAAATCAGATTCCTCAAGAGTTCCAAGAATACATGAATCAATGGTATCCACGTTGAAACAATCAAGAACGCATGCAACATTCTTACTCAGCTCTTGCACATTGAACTCGATCTTGTCATCCCCGATTTCAAGGATGAGTGTACCCTTCTTCACATTTATGATTGCTCCAGCAGTGGCTAGAAATGGTCTCCCAAGAATGATAGGAACTCGGGCATCTTCTTCCATATCTAAGACAACAAAGTCTCCTGGAATATAGTATTTATCGATCTTCACAGGAACATCTTCAAGAATGCCGATTGGGTATTTGACAGAGCGATCAGCCAATTGTAGCGCCATGGTTGTCAGTTTTGGATCACCCAAGCTTTTGACACATAGAGTATGGAATCAAGCTAACACTTGAACCAAGATCACAAAGAGCTTTGTTTACTTTAGATCCTCCGATGTAGCATGGAATTGAAAAACTTCCAGGATCACGTAGTTTTTGTAACGCCCCAAAATATACCCTAGAATTATTAATGAATAATTATTCAAGTAATCAAATTATTTTGATTAATAATAATAATAATAATTGTTATTGGGCTTTGGGCCGAAATGAAATATGTTTTAATATTCAATATCAAAATCTGGATAAGTCTCATAGAGATAAATCCAATATGTTGACTTATTGTGTGACCTTACTTGGGAACCTGAGTATAGACCCAAATCAAGGATAAATGAAGAATTTGTTTGTGATGTAAACTTTGAAATGATTTATTGAAATAAATCATGAGAATAAATAATATGAATGAAGTGTAAAAACCTTTCTAAATAAAGGCCAACAAAATCAATTTTGACTCTGTCAAAGTCAACCACCTAAAAATATGATGTCGGAAAAAGTAGAACGAATAAATATAAAAATTATATCGTTGGATAGAGTTTAATTGTACAATCGCAAC